ATCTTTTGGATGAAGTGATGAAAAGTTTGTCTGTCTCTTCTGACTTTTTGGGAAAAGATAAATCAGTTAGCTGTGGCTTGGCCAGGTCAGTAAGTGGAAAAAGCCCAGGGGACTTTTATGAGAGACGGACAACTAAGCCTGATTTTATGAGACCTGGCCCTCGAAAGACTGAAGATACCTATTTCACTAGTACTGCAGGAAAACCTACACCAGGCATTCAAGGAAAGATAAAGTTAGTAAAAGAAACTTCTATGTCACGACAATCAAAAGATAGTAATCCTTATGCCACTTTACCTCGTGCAAGCAGTGTGATTTCTACTGCTGAAGGAACTACACGAAGGACAAGCATCCATGATTTTCTGACCAAGGACAGTAGACTGCCTATGTCAGTTGATTCACCATCAGCTGTTGCTGATAGCAACACCACGACAGCACCTAGTGAGTACTGTTTACGCCAGTGGTCCTCTCACGCACTTCATGGTACAACATACGCAGTAGGTTTTTGTCCCCGAAATGATTTAGCTACAGATATGCCTGAGTCTCTATATTCCCAAGCTAGAAACTCAAGAACAGAAAGGTCACATTTTGTGAACCAAACTTTTGCAACTATTAATACATCTAGTGATGCATTTGGAATATCAGCACAAGATAGCATTGGGCCATTTAGTGTGGCTCAATCATCTCAGCCATTTTTATCCCTGAATACAGAATTAGTTAGTAACATAAGTGGGTTACCTCCCAGGCCAGTCACCAGAATAACTGACCAGGCTTCTGCCTCTTTGGATAAAGCTGCACAGAAAGATAATGAACAGTTTTCTGGTGATCAGAACTCTAGAAGCAGTAACCCACAATCTTTTGTAGCTAGCAATAACCTTGTCGCTCCTGCATGCCTCTATCCTGATGACACAGAAGCTGCATTATTGGTTTCTGAAGATAATCAGACTGTTTGGTATGAATATGGGTGTGTATAATCAGACCTGCACATATAATGTATATTGATGTCATTTTATGTGTCCTGTGCTCCTCTAATCAGATATAGAGAGCAACCATTGAAAAATATAATTTGGCTAGGTTTATTCTTTTATTTTAAAATTGTTGCATAGTGTTTGGCTGTACATGATGGCATGTATATAAATGTGAATGTGTAACCACATCAAGGCCTGCATGAAATGTTAATTGCATTGTACATTTTCTGCATGCTCTTAAGAACCTTATCTACATGTGATCTTCTTTCACATTTTTTGTTGCCAGACAAAAGATTGTTACTTTGATGTCCAGAAGCATGTTAAAACACTTGCATGCTCTATTACCAAAATGACATTTCCAAATCTGATTTGCTTTGTTTCTTCTAAAATAGAATGTTCGTTTACCTCTTCCTCCTCCCTTTTTTTATTCCTGGAATGTTGATGGTATATTGTGTATGTACAGTATTAGTAAGGAAAATATGTTTTAAAAAAACTTTTCTTTTTTTTTTGCTATTTAATTATACCATCTTTCTTGTTTTATTTTCATGAAATAGTTTTTCAGTTAAACACTTTATATAATAACTATTAACTAATTCCCATATATAAAACATTGTTCAAATTTAAACACTGTTAGTATTCATAAGTTTAGTGTTATTCCTAGAAACCCCATCAAATTCAAATGTGATTTACACAATAACTAGGTGCATTTGTATTAATTGTTTCTCTTCTACACTTTTTTTTCTATACATGTAAGACCTTAAGTACTTTATTTCCTTGAAGATGATTTATTTACTTAAAATCAGTTAACACAGTAGTTTGAACAGTTCTTTTTTTTATAGAGTCAAAGAGAAATAAACCAAATCATACTCAATGTATTGGAAATTTGTATTTTTATTTTTACTCAAAAAGGGCAGATAGCAAATTTATAGTTGTAAAAACTGTAATTTCTGTAATTTACTATTAAATTATATGTATAGTTGTTCCTGCATATCCACAGATGTAGAACCTAAAATCATATGGAACCAGTATTTCTCAAACATTTTAAAAAATTAACACTTTCTGCAAATGAAATCTTACATAGATGCTCAGAATTTTTTAGACAAATTTAAAACGTTTTGCCATTAGACACACAGTCTCAACAGAGAGACACAGAGAGAGAGGAGGAGCAAGCCCCCACTCTCCCATGGGGAATAGTTAACCGATCATCCTTTCTCCATATCTCCATCCTGTCAGGATTTGAGGCCCATGCACATGTGGGCCCAGCATGTTTCTCAAACTCCTGGGTCTGGGACTTGAAATGTGCTGTCATCCATGTGGGATCTAGCTCTATTAACTACCAGGACACAGAGCCAGCTCCCTACCCCTATTTCTTTTTTTTTTTTTTTTTAAGATAAAAGTGGAGCAACTCTAACTCAGTTGAGGAGTTACACTTTCTCTAAGACATTTCTCTAAATATCCCACAGTTTCACAAAGCATTGTTTGAAAATCTATTTGAAGATTTAGTACCTTAATTTTATAAATGATGAAACCAAATAGCTTTAATATGCCTGGCCTCAGTTTTTAGAAATTATACCCAGATGGGGCCAGTAGGTGGTGTGGTGGTTAAGGGGCTGGACTTACTCCCATAAGGTGGCCAACTGTGGTTCAAGTCCCAGACCTGATGGCTTGAAACTCATGCTGGGTGCATGTGTATGCATGCCCAAAATCCCAAGAGAAGAATGGAGAAGGGATTGCAGTGTGGACATCCCCCCATGGGGTGATTTTTTGCTTTCGGTCTCTCTGGCAAGTGCACACATTCTATAGCAAAAATCTCAAAAAAGGAAGAAATTATACCCAGATGATTTAGATGACATCATAAACATATTTTTAGATATTAGGTCCCCTTTGACCAAAGCAATTTTAGTTATAACCAATGTAAGTAGGTGTTTTATGTCTTTACATAAAATATGCCTCAGCCCTGGTTTTCTTAGTAAATAATATAAATATTTCATTCTAGATTTTTCTACCGTTCTATGCAAGATTGTATTTTCTTTAAAACTGTATGATGTCTATGTAGTAAACACACTATGAATTAAGCCTATCTGACACTGTGAGGCAGGAAAATGTAATTGTTACAGGTTTTTAAAAAGTAACAATAACAATAGCTTTCCTAAAAATATTACTTATAGCTTTAAAATATAAAAATCAGTTTTTGAGACCGGCAGATGGCACAGTGGTCACATCGCTAGACTCCCCACGCGGTCGCCTGCAGTTGGAGTCCCGGATCCAGCAGTTTAAAACTCATGCAGGGTGTGTGTGAGTTCGTGCCCAGAATCTCTAGAGGAGACTGGAGGAGAAGGGACTGCAGCATGGCCCATCCCCCTTGGGAAGTGATTCCTTGCTTTCTCTCTCTGTCTCTTCAGTGAGCCCACACGCCCTATAGCAAAAAATCTCTCTCAAAAAAATATCAGTCGTTAAGCAATCAGATGTCTTATCAGATTAATACATTTCCCATATAGTTAAAGATTGTTTTTCCTTGCTCTACTCAGTAAGAGCTCTTTAGTTTCTTAGCATCATGAATTGTTTTGCATTTAACCTTTGATTAAATAACATGAAATGCTTTTCTCCTGCAGATATGGACAAAGTACAAGAAAGCAGAAATTCAAAAAGCAGGTCTAGGGAGCAACAAAGCTCCTAATTCTATTACCCATTACATGACATGTGGGCCAAGTGGTGAGTTTCCTGCTTAATATGTAAATGAGATTAGTCTCATTTATATAAACTAACCAAATTAAGTATGAGATCAGTGCACATTGCATTAACAGATGTAAATATCGCTTGCTTAATTTATTGACTTTTTCTTACCTGCTAGTAAAATAAGATGGTTGTCATAGGTTTTTGCTTATCAGTACAGGGAGTAAATCTTCCAATGCTATTTTTCCCCCCTCAGTTTAATTTTACTAGTGGAAAAATATTCAAGGAATTCCTTTTTCGTTTTTCGGTTGAAGTCTTTTTGTGACAGGAATATACTTCCCCACAATTTTCTTGATAATTGCTGACAATAAACTAAATGCCTATTTTGTGAAGAGCCAAAGAAAAATTATCTCTGATTTTCTATTATTCTCTCATTCCCATAAAAATATGTGGTGCATGCTATTCTTATAGTGGCTGCTCTTTATCTTTCTTATCTTTAAACTTTTCTTATATTTTTCTTTCTTCTTTCTACCTTCCAACTAAATACAGAGAGAAAAGTGTCCTTCAGTTTCTCAGTAAGAAGCCTTTATTTCTGAAGTAACAAGACACCTAGCAACTATAAGATTCATTTTAAAATATCTTTAAAGGAGACTTAATAATCCTACGTGAATAGAGCAGGCAAGAAATACAAACCTTCATTCCTTCCTTGAATCAAGGAGCACTGCTGGATTCAACTGCCAAAATTTTTAGAAGTTTTTAGGACTTAACTATATGCATTGTACTGTTAAGATCTACTGAATAAAGGACATCCTCTCACTAAGGACAAAGTATGTTAAGGTCAAAGTGTTTCAAGAAGTACTCCAAGAACAATCTACTTCTTTCATCATTTGTTTCATAAATTTACCCATGTTTGCTTAATGCTTCTGCTAAGGATTAGCCCAAATCTAGGCATTTATATTTAGTTGTGTAAACCTAAATTAAATGCTGTAGTATTTTGTGGACCGTATTATATATCAGGATACAGAGAAAATTGTTTTGGCATGTCAGAGCCTTATTTGGTTAGCAGACTGGATAGACTGCATGTGTTGGTACTTTTATTTTCAAAGTCAGTTATTTTGATGGCACTGCAAAGATAAATTTGAAGAATCCATGAAATAGGAGTTACAAAAATTTTTACTGATATTAATCTTTCCATGCGTTCCATTAGGCAAAACTAAACATTCATTCATGGATCCAAGGTAATTAAAAAGAGTGTTTTTCTGAAAACTTTTTTACTAAGATGGTTTTCCAGCAAATGGCATTCCCCAAGGTAAAGCTGTTATGTCTTAACTCATTTTCCTTCCTTAGCATTGGATATATATATTTTTTTAACTTGAGAGCTGACTGTTGCTTAAGTTTTCTTATGGCAAAAATAATGTAAATAATTTACTGTGATCTGCATTTTGCCAGGAATTCAATATTAAGGTTATCATTTATTAATAAAAATTTTTCTGTTTTTGTCCTTTATAATAATACATTAAAAAATGATAACTGTTATTGGTACTTTTGAAAGATTTGTATGCATTTGTTACCTTTAAACATTATTTGGTTAGCAGACTGGATAGACTGCATGTGTTGGTACTTTTATTTTCAAAGTCAGTTATTTTGATGGCACTGCAAAGATAAATTTGAAGAATCCATGAAATAGGAGTTACAAAAATTTTTACTGATATTAATCTTTCCATACGTTCCATTAGGCAAAACTAAACATTCATTCATGGATCCAAGGTAATTAAAAAGAGTGTTTTTCTGAAAACTTTTTTACTAAGATGGTTTTCCAGCAAATGGCATTCCCCAAGGTAAAGCTGTTATGTCTTAACTCATTTTCCTTCCTTAGCATTGGATATATGTTTGTTTGTTTTTTTTTAACTTGAGAACTGACTGTTGCTTAAGTTTTCTTATGGCAAAAATAATGTAAATAATTTACTGTGATCTGCATTTTGCCAGGAATTCAATATTAAGGTTATCATTTATTAATAAAAATTTTTCTGTTTTTGTCCTTTATAATAATACATTAAAAAATGATAACTGTTATTGGTACTTTTGAAAGATTTGTATGCATTTGTTACCTTTAAACATTTGGAAGCACAAAAAAAAGTAGATTTAGTTAACCCAGGGAAACATCAATTTTTAGTAGTTCCAATTTTATATCACAGTTTTATTTTCTTATGAAACAAAAAATGCATTGATGCTCATTAATACAAATTCATTATTTAACAAATTTTAGAATAATCTTTGCAGTCTGAAATACTATTTTTTAATTTAACAGTATACTTCTTAGGCTCTCATTATCAGCTCTAAAGAACTTTTTGGAATAATTCCATATTCCACAGTGTGTGGTTTATAAACTATTTTATCACTAACTCAGTAGCCATGAGAAAAGTCAGTCTCTCTCCTATCTCTTTCTGTCTGTCTCTCTGTAGTAGCAGTGTTGTGTTTATAATCTACTTTCTGAAAGACCATCAATAAAAAGGAAACAGTCAACTTATTTAGTTGACCAGAAGTTGAACTTGGAACTTAGTCAACTCAGTGCACCATGAACTTTTAGGTTTTGCCACCAAATAATGCTGTAAAGTTAAATAATGTTGAAATTTTTGGATGAAAGGTGCTATGTAAATGTAAATACAAAAGATTCTACTGAAATACAGATATTGCACAAAAAATATTTAAAACCTGTTGTCTAGACTTTGGAACACCTCTCCAGCATGACTCCGTGGAGTCAGGAATCAAATGGGTAATGGCTATCATGGCAGTCTAGAGACACATGCATGTAAAAAATGTAAATTCATTTTTAGGTGGACAGACTGAAAGTAAATGTAGAAATTATGTTTTAGCTAAATACAGTAAGTGGGTACCTTAGATGTATATTAACTAGCGTCTAATTTGCACAACTAGGACACATCCCAGGACAGTTACTGAAAGTTGAAATATTAATTAATGTGAGGTTGCCCAATGAAGGGGGAGTATGCTTATCACAGCCTGACCTCTCCAGGACGCCAATACTCTAAAAGAGAAAACCTGTTGAGTTAAGCAGTGTATTGCTGCTTCAGTAGATAACGCTGAAGGACAGCTGGTAAAGTACTCAATCTGTAATAGGCTGACCCTGAGAAAGGACAGTAGAGACCACCAAAGGATCACATTGAGATTCTTAAGAATACAAATAGTATCAATTATATTCATCACATTTTTCATACCATTTCAAGAAGGGACAAGATAAAACCACATGGATATTTTGCTTTCTGTAAAAGATAAGCTTCTGCCAAACAAAATAATAAAGCCAATCTGTAAACTGATATAGGCCATTTTTCTAATTTGGGCCCT